TGTTTTCATTTCAGGCAAAATATGAAAATGTTGTGTTATTGACTTCAGGAACAAAATGTAAGTTGGAATTTTTGGAAGCATTTTCTTTATAATAGTTTTCATATTTTTCATTTTTTCAGAAGCTATTGGTCTAAACTGGATTACTGAATTTGTTAAAGACACTGGAAAAACTATAAGAAGTTTGTTTTAATCTATATATTACTAAAACTCTTGTTCCCTTATCCTTTAACTGGACGAAATGGTGCATCATGGGACAACTATTTTTGAACCAAGGTACTTCAAATGGGTTAACTTATAGAATGAATCCAAAACCTGTGACCTATAATTTCCATGGAATTAAAATTTGGCAAGTTTTATAAAACAGTTTAGGATATAAAATATTATCACAAAACAGTTTATGACCTAATGCCAAATGTCATAAAACATTTCTTGTACTGATGTTTGACAATGCTTTACAGTTCAACATGGGTTATTTTCAAGGTAGATACAGTGAAGGCAACACATTAGAAGCTCTTTCACTGTTGAACGCTTTGAAGAATCTGGTAAGGAATTATCTTTGAAAGTATGAGCCAATGGCTCACAGGTTGTCTAGTTACTTGTAATTAGTTACAAATATTGAACAACTTTGCTACTTCATTTAAAGGTTCAGAATAGTTAAGTATACATTATTTTCCTTAGTTTTTTAAAATATGTTGTTTAACTTCTCACAATTCATTCCAGCACTTTTGAATATTAGAACTCAAATTGACATTATTCAGCAGAGGTTCCTGACAAACAACCCATACTCTACCCTATATTCCATTTCTGTCTGGAAATCTTGTATACTTCAATGACTAACACATCATTTGAAAAAAACTCCTACCTTCAAGGCAACTAGAAGGCCCACAAACTTCCTCTCATCTTTTGAAAGTATTACTATAAGTAGTAATAAAGAACAGCATACTAAATACAGTATTGTAAGCAATAATAAAGTTTTACAATCTGTTTTGATCAGATTGGGGAAGAAATCTGTTCCTTCAGAATTGCAAAATTCTGTTAATGTAGCCTTGCAATAGTGTAAAATTACCTCCTCTAGTTTGTTTCCTATCTGGTTTACCTGGCAGGGCTGACAAATTGGATGGACAACCAGCTAGACAAACTGATACTACTGGAGGATCCCCAATCTAGCATTCAACAGGCATACTGAATTGCAAACATTATCATACCCAATCAACAGGACCATTGTCTATGGTTATTGTCTTTTTAATGATATATGGCATCTTGGTATCTTTGGTCAAAAGTTGTGTTTTCTGGCTGAGTTGAGTTCTACCCACCATTTTGAGATATGCCTTGGGATAACTCCTCAGGGAAAGCTCAGATCTGAAAATGAAGTGGATTTTCAACGTTTTCCACCCTGGAGAAAACTAACATTCAATACATTTTCTCCTTAAGTATATAAGTTTGATCTCTAAATTACTTTTTTTTACCAAAGCTTTGCTCAGTCCCAAATTTCTTTGATTGTAGTCATGGAACTGCATTGTACTTGTGCTTTAATAACATTTTTAACTATTTCGTTCAGAAGGGTCATCATTATGGTTTAGGTTTACATGAGCTAATTTTTTATTTTATTGAATAACTATCATGCATTTTCTTATTGTTTATTTATTAAATAATAAAGTATTTATTTCCTGTAGTTTAATACTACAGTGTTTTTAAAGAATCATTGTATATTTGTCAAGCTCAATGTACTTTTCAATGCTTATTGTCCATCCTCACAATCAGCCAGGCTATGGGAAATCTATTACTACTAAACAGGAACAGAACAGTAACTAAACTGCATAATTGGCAGAGTATCATCTCCTTTGCCTAACATTCCATCTCTAGCAGTTGCCAACCAACTATTGCCATAAAGAGTCGGATGGTAGTTCTTGTTTGTACATAGTAGTTGGTTGGAGAGTTACTTGACTTCCTTAACATAATCAATTGTACTCATGACAACTGCCCTCCATCGTCAGCTGTTGTTCTTGGGATCCTGAATGGCATTCTGCTCTATTAATATTGTTGTATCAGGAGAATACACATTTGTGGCTTTGGCTTATTAGTGATAGCTTTCAATGTAGAAATTTAACAGTACAATATCCATCTGGGAATATCTGTGCAGTATTTTTAAAAACATAGTTGGATTTGGTATGAACTGTGTTGCTAATTGTTCCAGGATATGATGTGTTAGAAATAGCATGTCTATTCTAGATAGTATCTTGAAAGTATAGGAAGTCAGTGGATTATGATTCTAATTGGGACCAGGATTTTCATCAAGTAAAGAGGTCATGCAAAACACATGACTGCACTGCTTAACAGTTTCAGCAGTCTCAGTTGTGCTCATGGGATGCTGTAACTGGTCATAAATGCGGGTTGTTACCAAGCATCTAAATTTTGATTACATTACCAAGAGGATGTTGCAATGGCCAGAATTTCAAGGATTGGTCATAACTACCAGTTAACTATCAGCAATATCATAACTTTGAAAGATTACTAAATGCCTGGGTGTAGTTTAAGGACTAATAGTATTCTTCAAGTGAAAAAAGTGTTTCATCTAAGTTATAGATTATGCATGGATTTAGTGGCTCAAAGGATATTCCTCATGAAATGATGGACAATTCTCCTTGGCTGAGTGGCTGCATAGGTTCATAGCATTTGGAGAATTTATGAGCCCTCCACACTGTGGTAAGTGGATAGGTGCAGCAGTTTAGAAAAACATGAAACATAGTCAGTTGGTGAATATAAACCATACATCCATTTAATATAACCATTGCCAAGGCTCACTATTACTGTCAGACCTCCAGGCACGATGACAAATCCGAGTCTTCAGGCCCCACCAGAAGGGTAGGGGTCAATCTAAGTTCTGGAAGAATGAGGGCAAACATCATGGCAGAAAACACTCTCTTCCTAGATCTTGTCCAATTACATTTCTTAATAGATAGGACCTGTAACATGCCTCTCCTACTGGATCTGATAGGATGTGTAAATGTAACTGGGTAGAAGAGGTCCCTCAACAAATAGGTTGATAGTAGAGGATTCTTTACCTTTAGTCTTTTAAGAATGATGTCATGTTGCTTGATAGTGTCAGATTGTACCTATGCCAGTTTGTTAAGTTTTATGGATTTTTATATGCAAAAAATCAAAATAGAAGAGAACTTTTAACATAACAGAATTTGGTGGCATTAAGAGAGTGTTTACCTCCCATAGACACACATACTGTTGGAAGGATGTAGTTGAAATTATTATGGTTAAGAGCATCAAATCGGATGTGAAAAACCAAAATAATTTAGTAAGAAATGTCATATATATGACCAAGATACTGAAGATGATTTTGAGATGGGAATAAAATTAAATAGCTATCTAAAGAAAGATCTACTATAGTAATTTGTGATATTTTGTTCTAATTATAACATAAATGTATATATGTTCTAATTATAATAGATTGGATTTTTACAAATTCTAAATTGTCTTAAGAGTAATAGGTCATAGAAAAAAAATCTGAGGAATAACCTTTGATATAAATCCGTTGGTACACCCATGTGGTTTCTGTAGTCCAAGAAAACTTATTGCAAATGTGTTAGCCTTAATAATAATCTTTGTGGTTTTTCATGCAATGGAGTAATCTTGACCTTGCAGAGGTGGGGGGGGATAAGTTATAATTAAGTGCATTAAAACAAGCACATTATCATGAAAATAGATATAAAGGAGTAAGAATTAAAACTAAATATTATTGTCCTAAAAGCAGTTTGTAAAGATTAAAAATGATCAGGAAAATAAAAAAGGGCATTTGCCAAAGACACATTAATATAAACAGCAAGTAAATTTCTAATCCAAGATCACAAAAACTGAGTAGGCTCTTTAACACAGCAGATGAAGGAGGGTCTAACAGATAAATATGTTAACAACTTAAATGCTAGGTGGTGCAGCTTTAAAAAGGGGACATTTTTAAATTGTCTGGACAAACTCAACTGATTGATGCACCTCACTAGATATTTCCAATACTGTTATTTTAAAACAGAATAGCTTTTAGGAAAAGGTACTGAACCCACAAAATATATATTGGCCCCTCATCTGAGAAAAGCTATGCTCACCTACTCCAGAATACTGTAGTATGCAAACAGAAGGGAAGAGAGCCACCCAGCAAGAAACATCAAGAATCCCCCCCAATGGAGACCATTTTCCAAAAAGTATTTCATACCTACCCTTTTATTCTATGCTCCTTGATATATTTTCAGCCTCCCTGAAAACCGAAGGGTCCCAGATGAGCCAAGCTGTCAAACCAAATCCCGTTTCAGAACTAAATCACCCTTTCTCTTCTGCTCCACCACCTTCCCCACTCAGGAACTGATTAATCATTTCTTTGGAGCTGAGATAATCATTTATAATAATTACATTACTATCATCCCATGCTCCTTCACTTCCATTCGTTCTCGAAAAACTGAAGTCTTCTGGGTTTTTTTCTGGCAGGAAGGCAATTTTTGAACTCTTTGGATCTCTGACCCAGTTCTAAGACGGAACCCCAATTACTTCCCCCCTTTCCTTGAACCTAGAATTCAGCTCTGAACAAATTAAGAGACTTTCCTGCCCTGAACCCCGCTCCCAAGCCTTCCCCGCACTTGGTTGGCCTGTCGCTTCTCAGCTTTTTATACAGCCCCCTTTCTCTACTGCCTCCTCCTGCCACCCCACCCCGCTGTCTCTCCTCCCACTAGTTTTCTCGTCTTCCTCCGTCTCCCTCCCTCTCCGCTCCTTTTTTTCTCCACCTCTTCAATACCAGCCGCCCCTCGGCCTGAACATGCAAGCCTCGCCACCATTGGCCAAGCAGCCTCATCCTTTCCATGCGGGACGCGCGGATTGGGTGAGCCACGGCTTGTCGCCTTGCCCGTTGTGAGAGTGTAGAGTGGGGACGGGGAGAGGGAGGGCCTTTTTTCCTCCTCCCCCTCTCTCTCCCTCGCTCTGTCTCTCTCTCTGGCAGTGTCCATGGCTCCTCCTGCCACGGAGAGGCGACGGGCTTAAACCGAAGCCGGGCCGGCTGTGGGTGACTCCCTTGAGAGAGACCTTCTTGGGGGGGCTGGGGAGGGGTGGGAGGGAAAAGCGCGAGCTCCCGAGTAGGGGGAAGGGGGTCACCAGCGGCACGAGCATCCCCCTCGTTAACCGCCGGCGGCGGAGGAGAGATCCGGGCGGCAACTGAGGCATAGGAGGAGGCGCCTTCCTTTTCTCTGAGCGAGCTCCTCTGGGCCGGTCTCCTCAGCCAGGAAGCCTTCCTTCCCCCTCTCCTCCTCCTCCTCCTCCCCCCCACCTCCCCTCCCCAAGTCTCGTTGCCGGAGGAGCGACCCCCTCTCCTCCCCCCGCCCGAACCGGCAAATGAACTCGGTCCGAGCCGCCAACAGGAGACCCAGGCGAGTGTCCAGGCCGCGCCCGGTGCAGCAGCCACCGCCGCCACCGCCACCGCCTCCTCCTGTTCAGCCGCCTCAGCAGCAGCAGCAGCAGCAGCAGCAGCAACCACTGCAACTGCCGCCGCCACCTCCACCGCCACCGCCGCCGGAGAGGAACAACAACAACGCCGTAGCTGCCGCCGCAGCCGCTATCGCCGCTGGGGAACGGGGTAAGAAGGAGGGAGAGGGAGGGGCGGCAAGGACAAGGGCGGCAAAGGGGCGCGGGCAGAGGAGAGACGGCGAAGCGGGTGGGGTTCCTTTTCTCCCCCACCCCCATCACCCTTTCTGCAAGCCCTAGATACGCTCTCCCCGTTCCGTGGACCTGTTAGGGACATAGGCCGCGCTTTGTTTGCCTCGGGCCCTCCATGAGCTTGGGATTGCCAATAAACTACGGGTTTCTCTCAGGTACTTTTGGGTGGGTGGGTGGGGGGTGTTGAATAGAGAGCACAGAGCCTCCTCTCGGTTCCCCAAGGAGAGAGAAAAAGGGAGAGCAAGAGGACGAAGAAGGCCCCGGTCCTTTTCCACCTTCTCCTCGGTGGTTTATTTTAGCCGTGGGAGGAAAAAGCTTCCCCCTGTGTCTGGGACACGGTGTGTATCCCAGTAACTTGTGTTGACACCTTTCCTTTTATTCTCTTTAATCATCCTCATCTCCTCCTCCACGGCCGCTCTCCCCTCCCTCTCCCTCCCCCCCTCGGTTTTTCTCTCTTTTTGTAATGGTGTCTCATGGAGACAAGAACTGCTCTCTCACCCCCTCCCCTTCCTCTTCCTCTCTCCCTCTCTCGTCCCTCGCCCTGCCCCAGTGTTTTTGCTGCGCAGTTTGCATGGCTTTGGTTACCCGGATCCCGAAGGAAAAAATGATCCGAGATAGGGAGGGATCCGGAGGGTGGCATGAAAGAAAGGAATTGCAGACCCCCCATCCCTACATAGGCGGCGTTTTTGTCGGGGTAGATCATCGGCCATTTATCTGCTTCCTTCTCTTTCCCCTTCTCGCCCCCTTCAGTCTGTCGCACCACTCTCACACACTGGCCTAAATAAAAACCCACAAATATTTGTTCCTGGTGTCGGGCTGCTGCGGGTGGCGGTAGAGAAACCTTCGTCGTTTTTCCGCGCGTGTGAAGGTTTCAGTTCCCTGCTTGTCGGTCGGGGCCTAGCATAAAAATATTAAGATTGAGACCAATTAGATAAGCACCATTGTTTGAAAGAATTGGAAATGTAATCATGAAAGGGATTCCTGCTTTCCTTCGTTCTCTAATGGAAAATTTACACGATCGCCGGAAAAATGAAATAAAATCCAGATCTGGGTGTCTGGGGGCGGGGGCAAGTGTTGGAAAAGGAGGAGGAGGGCGATCATTTTCTCACTAGGCTGCGTAACTGTTGCCATATTAATTGGCTAGGTTTCTCTCCCAGTGTTGGTGTGGTGTCGTCGCAGGGTTATTTTCTAAAGGAGAAGAACAGGGGTGGGATCGTAGGAGACATTTTGCATGTATTATCCATTGGGTTGGATTTTAATTTTTTATGCACTGGGTGTCGCACCTTTCTCATGATTTAAAGGAAAATGACCTATGAATTTGGTCGATTAATAAAACACCTTTAGCTGTTGTTGTTAGAAGAATGTCTTTTGTTTGAGTACGTAGGAATAATTTACTAGGAATAAAATGCTAAATTTCAGAAGTATATGGTGATATAGTTTGTTTGTTTTAAAAAAATATGTAAGTAAGCGATTGTTAACTCAGAACTTGTTCATAAAGAATCCCAGGATGCTTTTAATTCAGTTCTGTCTATTCTTCACATTCATCCAATCAAACAAGAATGTTGCAGGAACCAGATTATTTTTAGAAGATGTGGGGGTTTCTTGCCTATAGAGTTTGTGTAAAACTTAAAAACAATTCTGATACCAATTACATAATAATTAATGTTCTAATGTACCATTTGAAACAAAATCACTTCCTTCTTTTGAATATCAGACTTTTTGCTTTTTGGATTTATAATAATTTCTAAATAGTTTAGCAAATTTTGTGAATTGTGAACAATACAACTAAAGTAATGTTGCATTTCGTTTGCTTACTGCTTGACTGAGAATTTTAACATAAATGAACTAGATATTAGATTTCAGAAGTAGCATTCAGGCAGTAATGATTAGCTCCTGGAAATTATTTTTCCTGTAACACATTAAAATTGGATAGTATCCTTGTGTTTATGTCAAACATAAATATTCATGCTGCAACTAAGACAAAAAGTACAGCTAGTTAATCATAGCAGGTCAAATGAAGGAGGTTTTATGAAGCTAGATCAATGATTAACATATACAAATGCAGACATTTAATTCATTGAAGAAGTGTTAGAGTAGCGAATTTACAAAAATGTAACTTTAAAGTGCTTCAATAAGATTTTAATCTAACATCATTAAAAGTCTTTAGCTAATAGTATGTTTTTGATTTTCTGGTATTTTAAATTCCTACTTAAATCTTTAAAGCTTTTGGTATAATGTATGTATGTATGTGGTTAGATAGGTATTTATTTATTTATTTGTTGGGTGTTTGGTTGGTTGGTTGTCCATCTTGGAATTCAGGCATGAATAAGATTCTTAATAAATAAAGACTTAAGTTGTAAAATATTACAAATTCAATTTGTTCCCTAAACCTGTTTAAAAGAAAGCCTACCAAAGGATGGTTGACAGGAATTTTAAGAGAAACCAACCAAATGAAAGAGTAAATGTAAGATACATTTATTAACTTATAAAATAAGACAAAAAGATAAATTACACCCCATGTAAGAAATTAACAAATTTTAGACTTTCATCATAGCCCAGAATCAATAATTTATTCAGGAAAGTTTTAAAAAAACTTGAATTTGGCCTGATATTTTTGTCTAAAATTTAGATCTGTTTTTCAGTTTGTTTGGACTGTTGTATTAGCTTGGTCTGAATGTTCAAATGACAATGATAATTTCATCATATAAATGATTTAATTGACAGGATTGGAATGAAGTATTTATTTCCTTGCTCAACACATTGTAAAATTGGGATGATTTAGATTTGAGATGAACATATTCAATCGTGGTAACTTGCAAATATTAAAAAAAATGAAGCTATGTGTAATCTTGAGCATTGTCCAAAGCATAGATGAATTATATAATACTGAATTGATGGTTCTGTCTTTTGCTTATTTATTCCCAATTAATTGTTATCCTCTAAATATTCTGAATCAGTTATTTCAAAATGATATACAGAAAAGTTTTTTTTTAATTGAGATAAATGTAAAAAATGTTGCTTTGATGGTATTTGAAGTTTGATTTTAGAGATTTAGAGTGCTAAATAAGCAACAGTTGTTCAATTTTGCAAAAGGATGTCCACACAACCCAATTTCTCTATAGTTACTTTTGTTAGCTTCTGGACAATATTTTTATTGATTTATTTATCTTTTAATATAAATTATATTAGCCAATCAAAAACAGTACTGCTAAAGGAGTGTTGGTTGATGACCTCCATGTTTCAATGAACGTTTTAGCATGCATTCTAATACTCATATGGATAGTATTATTTTAGTAAATAGTATACATGCTGACACCTGTATCTGCACATGGAGCTCTTTAGCTCAGTTGTGGTGATAGAATAAAATCTGGACTGGTTTTTAATCAGCCATAAATATAGATTTTAAAAATGTAGTTGCCTCTTCATAAATAAATAGTATGTAAAGATAATTTGTACGAATTATATAGCTAAATATAGTCTTTGTATTAATATTAAAATTTTTTAGCCTAGTGCATTTTGTTCATTTTTGCTTGTATGATAAAGTATGGTTCATGTGAGTTAATCTGTATATGATAGATACAGATAAATTAGCATTTCACATATACCCAATAAACCAAAAGCAAATCCAGATTAAATTTATGCAAAAAGTTTCATATTCAATATGTGATGTATTTTCAGTATTAAAAATATGTCTGCAGATTCTTACATAAGAATATATGCTGACAAGAGGGTGGAGCTCCAACACCTCTGGTGGTCACAGATGTAGCCTTTGACTTTTTATTAAGATTTATTGGCAGTGGTATAAAAGAGGAAATTCTATTTCACAGTGTACCAGTTATGCTCATTTCACAATGCTAAAATAAAAGTGAAATAATTAGAAGACAGCTTAATGAAGCCAGATATGTACAGATTGAAAAGTATTTATCTGCACTAAAATTTTAAGAACATTAATTGAGACAAAATGCATGCTATAATGAGTTGTGTTTTTATATTATCTAATAGCTATAATCACCTATTTGAGGGAGGGGAAATTGCATATATGAATTCAATATAGTGACAATGTATTTTTCATAAAGTTTGATGTTATTTGTATATATTTGTCAGAATCTGCACTTAAAAATAAATTTCTGTTTGTATCATCTATCCTTTCATGCAAAACAGATTTCTTGGATATATATTTCATTTAAAAAGTTAGAATTAAGCAAAATTTGTTCTCTCTCCCCTCTTCTCTCTCTTTCTCTCTCAGAGAGAGAGAGAGAGCGCGGGATTGGAAGTAAAAGCAGTGAAATGAAGCTTTGGTTGTATATATTTTGTTGTAATTTACATAAACCTAGAAAAATAGGCTGTTCTAACAAAGTAATTTGTGAAACTCAAACACATTTCTGTTTTTAGATGCTTTGTGAAACCCAAAAGGTTAGTAACTTCTGTTACATATTTATCTTTATGCCAGTCTAGTAGATGCTTTGTGATTTTCTATGCATTTCAATTCCTTGTTCTCATTAAAAAGCAAACATTCAAATATCTCAAATGCTTTTGAGATCAGTTAAGATTTTATTAATTGTTGCAGAATAATTGTTGCTGAATTGTTTTACTAATTATTCCTTGAGTTATTTCACATTATTTTAATATAGACATATATTGGATATATAGAAGGCAAACTGAAATGCTCTGTTTTCATGTATGTATGCATTTCATTTACTGGGACCTTCCTATTTGTTTCTAATGCTAGCTCTAAATCCTATGTCCTGATAATCTAGTACCTGTACTAGATTTGGAATGAATATGATGAATTTACTGACTACTGTCTATTTTAAACATTTATTTTCTAGCATACCAGGTATAATGGGCACTCCACATCCAACAACACATAGACTTAAGAAAGTGGCAACATTTCAGCAGAAACATTAACTTATCCTTTAT